TTCTATCCCACTCATCATCGTAACATTATTTTCTTTTCATGGTCATGGATAACTTTCCATTTCACAGCTAAAATTGGAAAATTTCGTGTAATAAATGCTCTCGTACGTGTCACGTTGGAATTAGATGAATCACTTTAACAGATTTGCTTTTTAAGTAGTGTTATAAACGACAAATACGACATACACGCGATCGCACAAATAAACATTCGACAGAGATAAAGAAACAAAAATGATGAATAGAAAAATCGCGTAATCACGTATTATTTTGAATTTTTCATTAACGACAGGCGACAGTATTATGCGATTATGTTTCACGTGAGCATCGCGTGCGTAACTAATTGTACAAAGTAAGGAAACGTCGAGTGAACGAGTGATCGAATAGAATGATCGGGCGAAACTTGTCTGTTTTTTCATACAAGGTCATGGAGAAACGAAAGACCGAAAGAATGCACGTTGATAATCGTGTGATAGTGGAAGTTGTGCGAGCACTAAACGGAAAACAATTTGGCTGCGAGACAAGAGGAACACTGGTGTTGCATTACGTCTGGTCAAAAAGGATGAGCGCCAACCAGTGCCGACCCATTTGTTTCAATATCTTGCAGCCAATGCTCCGTGAACTACTATTTCGAAACATTTTTCTTTTTTTTTTTTTATAAATAAAAGAACATCCAGCCTTCCTGCTTGGGATGGAAACCGCTGTGCGTTGGAAACAAGTGTGTGGCAGATCAACTTCCTCAAATGAATCTATTCCAGTCGTTATCTATATATAATTCGTGACGAAATTATTTCCACGAGCATCGTCCATGATAAATTTCCGTTCCGAAAGGCGTTTGCTGAATGGAACTCGAACTCGTTTGTTAAATCGAGACACGCTTGGGAAAGTAGCCGCCCATGTAAGAAACTTTTCCAGGAAAGAATGAATCGGGATTCAACTTCAATAATTGCCAATCCAAATACAAGAATCTATCTCACTGTGTAGAATATTCTGGTTTATAAAATCAGTAATTTTGTCAGGAAAATTCAAATACATATTTTATTTGAAATGAAATTATTTATTTAAAATCAATAATCTTGTCAGAAAAATACACGAGTATACTACAAGGCATGGTTCTACGATTACAATTGAATGAAAGCTGATCCAGAGAGAGAGATCGGGATGATGAATTTTGAAACGTGAACATGGTAGATCAGACTACACCAATGAGTTATTTAAAATTCTGCATCGTACATTGTGGAAACAATATACGATGATTCACGTATGCGGTGGAAGTAACGCTGGAAAACATTTGTTGTAAATTTCTATCTGAAACGGAAACGTGGGTTCATCGAGAGGATAATTATATCGGCGTTCACTGTAATTCAAAATTGGTATTAACTGATGAAAATAATGTCGTGCATTTGGCGCCAGATCAATGATAGAGTGCCGCGTTGTGCGCCAAATATGTGACAATATCTAACATCGTCGTCCGCCAAATATGCAACGAAGTGTACGCGAAGAAAGCAAAGAGCAATGAATTCGTTCGAGACCGGATCAATATCCAGGGAAAACTCTTCCAAGCCAATTATAAGTTACAATCATTCCCATTATCAGCCTATGAAACTTAGAAAGTTTCAATTAAATTTAAAATTATCGTTTTCTTCTTCTTTCTTCTTCTTTCAAAAGTTCATTAATTTCGAATGAGTAAACATTTTCTGTATAATATAATAAATTTTATCTGTTTTAAACCTAATCTATATACGATACACACGATAGATGTGTTGCAGTCACATGTAACTATAAGCAATTTTCGAATATGCAGCAGCTACGCGATCGTCGGAATTATCATTTGGTAGACCTTAGTATAGTCTATATTGTATGATTGTATTTAGTTATTTGACGTTTCAAAACGTCAATTCAGTTTCAAATATTACCGAGCACTTGTTCTTCAATCTAGCTGGTACACTTTTATTATAAATAGACATTTAACGATATCGCATCCCGAGGTCGGCTCCCGAGGTAATGAAAAATAATTGCAGCTACGTTTGCAATATTGCAATCCTACTGGAAACGCAATCAGAAAGATATGATATACAGCGTTACGTTCAATTTATATTATCTGGAATCGTCATCGTCATCAGGAGAAACGGATATCCATGTATCGAGCTTTACTACTGAAAAACAAATATATAAATATATTCTAATAAATAAACTTATTAATTTATCGTAACTAATAAATTTATTCTAATAAATAAACATATAACAAATATAATAAATATATTCTAATAATCAGTTTCAGTTCATTATTGGACAAAGTGATTGCAAAATTTCAAATAAAAAGAAAAACGTTTTTTTCGTTAAACGATTCTCTTATGCGGAGCTTATAGCACGTAGAAAGCAACGTGTTTTCAAGCTCACATCTAAACAGAATTACGTAATGTCTATTGCAAGTGCCTAATTTCATTCCAGGTTCCGGCAGAGCACCACCCTCGTCCGTTTCGTTTTGGCTTTTCTCGTCCCACCTTCATCGTCTTGTACCTTAATTCTTGCTTAGCCACCTCCTTCCCGTTGCGTTCTGGGGCTAACAGTAGCTATTTTCGTTTCTTAGCGACAATATAGCAGCTCACTGCTCAACCATGCTCTATCCAAAGCGGCTTCCTCTCCTTCCTTTACGATCATTTCATTCTGTTTTTGAAAATTTCGTTTCATCTTTCTCTCCTTTTTCTTTTCTACTCTTCTTCCCTCTCTACATTACAAAGTTACAACGATATACCTTGTAGTTTTCCGTGTATAACATCGAACTCGTTCTTCTCTAAATTACCCAGTATGGAGATGACGAGGGAAAAGAGCGCAGTGATGTAGACTTTTGTTTTAGACAAATATCTCAAATCTCGGCCTCGAATACTTTCGATATAAAAAAAATTGTCACTTTCGACGATCATACATGCTTACATTAACGATAAATTACTGGACAAATGATTCGATCGTTAAAATAATATCTAAAAATATAAACATAAAGTAACGATCTCTTTTTCTTATTTCCTTCCTCTTTTTTTCTTTTTTTACTGTTGCTTTCTTCGATTTTCAATCGCATTCAAATTGCATTCAAATTGTAAGTTGCAACGAACGCGTACACTGTAACGTAAAATTATTCGAGCAAGCGCTTCAATCTGTCAGAATAGAATATTAAAATTTTCGTCATTATAGACCAAGAGAAAAAAGCTGAGGACTAATGTCAGAAAATGTAATTGAGAAAATTTACAAATTCAGCTCTTTATTTATAATATTATTTATTCTCGATTCATAGACGAAAACACTAGCGCCGCGTTGTGGCAAACGGAGGAACTAATCAGCTATCGCTATCCTTGTCGCACATCAAGCGTAGATTGGGGCAGGTGCTGCCATCTATCGCAATTTTCATTTTTACCCTTTTAGTTCCAGGCGAATTTGAAAGATGTTCAGATGGCAGTGTTATTCGTAGACAAAGAGCGCAATATTGTGCGGCAAGGACAGAGATAGCAATTAGACACCATCTCGCCGCTAAACAGTGTCCCAGTATTGGTTGTGGCACCAACGAGATGTATGAATAGACCAAGCATCTTACGGGATTTCGTGGCTCGT